GCTAAGTCGGTTCAGAATCTTTTTTCGAATGCGAAAAAATTTGAAAAAGTATTTTTAACTATGCTGAATTGCTAAAATTTCATACTGCAGACTTAGAAAAATGGTAAGAAACTGTTACAAGATCAAAGTTTTTAGCATATCTCACTCTACTTTAATTAGAACTGTTCTATACATTTTTTAAAAGTAATATTTGAATAATTGCAAGGTTATCTAAAATGTTTTCCTTTTTTTCACTTACAGATGCGAATTATTCTGTAGCGTAAAAGTGGTTTTACTCATACGCAATGTTTTTTCGTTTTAGGATGTTAAAAATCTATTCCGCATGAACTTACTAGGCAGTGTCAGTTCTGGTGTTAAATTTAAAAATCTACCAAGCACTTATTTTGAATGACAATATACTACAGTGTTTTTGGTTGTAAACTAAATACTTTTCAGGTAGGAAAAGCAGCATACTCTCATAGATGTTGAGCGTATTCTTAAAAAAGTTATATAATTGCTCCAGCTAAAATTTCTTCTTGTTGAAAGCTGAAGAAAAAAGTGGAACGATGTTTAAAATACTAGATTTAAAGATATAGTATATAAGTTAAAATGTATTTTATTTTTTCGAATACGGTTATTTAGAGCAAAAACTATATTTTTCTGCTTTTGTGCTGATAAGAAGTTTCTTCCGACGTCAACAATTTACTCTATGTTTAAAAATCAATTATGCAGCCATTAAGCGTTTGTCAGGCTCAGACTGCTAATTCTGCTCCAATAATTTCCTGGTCATCAGCGAGAAAGATCAAAAATCAAACTTTATATAGTGTGATCTAAAAAATACAAATGCTATTGGTCTTATGCAGTTTCCTTTTTTGATATAACTGCTAACATAGTAATTTTTCAGTGAAACTTCAACAAGCAGTTTCTTGAAATAACGAAGTTTGATACATACAATTCAAAAAATGTGATTATCCAGATCAACCAAATCAGAAATTTGTCAGTTGCAATTAGCACTGATCCCCACTCCTTCAATCAAAAATGATTTATTGAACTACAGATCTGTACAGCTACTGCAATCTGTACAGTAAATCACGCCTGGAGTAAAATTTGTGATTAGTTAAGTTAATGAAAAACTTTGGAGTATCAAAAACAGCAGTACAATCAAGCCTGACACATAAAAGTAAAAGAAGAGTATTATCTTTAGTAACCACACGCATTTGATTGAATCTTTCACCCAAAATTGAACCAAACTGAAAAAAAATAAATAACAGAAACGTCAATTTTTTTGCTATGAAGAAGCTGAGTACTTTTATAAAAAACAAAGTATTTGTTTTTCACATATTTCTTTTTATTCTTTAAGGTTTGTCTAATCTATCTTTTAGGGAATTTTTTCTTCACAAAATTTATTTGAAAATGTTATGTAGACAATGGTTGTTAAGAAAGCCAACATATCAAAACCATGAGCAGAATTTTGGTTTTATCCATCTTCATAAATCAAATTTACTGCACCAAAGCTGTTAGAAAGACTGTAGAAGATAATGCAGCATCGTATATCAAACAAAATTAACCACTCTGTCGCAACACAGGAATTCTAAAACATTTAAATTTTACAAATGACATTTTAGTGGTTAGAATATACTCGGGGTCTTTACTCGGGTCTTTTCAATAATCTCGTTTAACAGTTAAAACACAGAATAAATTTTGGGAAACTCCAAATAAGACTAGTTATTGATTCAGAAGAAATTAGGAAAGAAGAAAGAAAAAACAACTTTTTATACAGTTTACAATTTTCTTTTTAAAATGCTCTCAACAGTTGATATATTTGAAAACAATTAAATATTCCTATTTTGATTTAACTTCTGTAAAATCTACTGCTGTTTTCAAAAATGCTGCTGTCTAAAGAGCCACTGCTGTTATCGATATTAATTCTTCATCTAATTTTACAGTTTAAATAACTAAAATAAACTGCTACAGAAAAGAAATATAGCAGATCTATTCACAAGACTACTAATGCTTTCAGACAATACTTCATCTTTTATTTGTTTTTAAATCGACAGCTGAAAATCAAATTTCCTAACATTAATAGAGTTATGCTTCTTCCCTTTGTCATTTTCTTCACTAATTTATTAAAGCTATTATAAAACAGTAACAATCAAAAAAAATAAAAAAAACAGCAATTTTGGTTTTACTTAATATCAGAAATTCTATAAGTGTTCTGTTTATTATAGCCACACATTGACACTTCTGCTCAAACGGTAATCAGAACGCTTGTGAAATAGTATCCAGAAATTGTTATATTTGTTAGAATGAATATACAGCAATGAAGTTAGACAATACGTACTTCTTACTACATTTTAGGTAGCAGAACAAATTATGGCAATTTATCTGTTTCAAATCAATTAGTACAAGCAGTTGTATAGTATTAAAGTTAGACAATACAAATTACCCCTTTAAATTTTTCGTGCAATTAAAAATTTTTTCAAACTGTCTCTATTATACTTATTTTAGAGCACTTCAGTTGCTAAATCAAGAATACCGTTTTTGTCACCCCGTAGTTAGTATTATTCAAAAATACTCAGTCTACTGCAGTAAGGATTTTTTCTTTTAAACAGTTTTTAAAAGAAAACCCCCTAATTTATTGATTCTACTGCCATATGTTTAGAATTTATAAATAAAACAAATTTCACGAAACTCCTCTCTCTTTTAACAGTTCCACTAAACGAAGATAGCGGCACTTTTGGAAGCTTCAGTTCTAATGAAGTACATTTTTCTGCAAAAGACTCGGAAAACTTTTTTTTTTAAAATTCTCTTTCTTGTGGTGTCTCTTTAATTGAAGCTGTCAGAAGGCATTTTCTTTTTTGATCCATCTTGAAATTCTTCATTTTACACGAGTCACTTTCAGGTCGAATTTGTGTAAAAAGTTTGCATACTCTGCATTTTTGCTTTTAATCCAGTGCAGCTGCTTTCTAACCTCTTTAGAACTTCTTTTAAGCTTAAAAACTACATTCTTTCTCGTTGAACACTTTTCTGTTTTTTCCAAATGCGGTTGCAAACCGTAGCGAAATTGGGCGGTGATTGTACTATATATGTAGGAGATTTTGCTTAGTCCAAATTTATCAAGCTTCAAACTAAAAATTAAATTTAGCTCAGTGTAAAAAAGATTCTGCTATAGTCGCCAAATAAATAACGTAAATTACTTTAATTTTTTTTTGCCCAGCCACGTATTGTAGTTGAAAAACAA